GGGTCGACATTGATATCTATCCCTCTGCAGACTGAATGATCAGAAAACCACATGAACTTCTTAATCACCACTCATAAACTGAACGGATCTAATTTTCTCCAATGGTCCCAAGCCGTGTCTTAGATCGTCAAGGGACGCGGGAAGTTCGGTTATCTCATCGGAATGATTCACGAACCTTCTAAAATTGACCCAACATATGAAATGTGGGAAGTGGAGAATTTCATGGTCATGTTGTGGCTCATTAATTCCATGGAAACTACAATTAGTCATTTGTATATGTTTTTTCCTTCTACCACTATAGACGTAGTTCGGGATACCTACTCAGATTTAGGAAACTCCAAGAAAATTAATGAGGTTTTTAAGAAGATCCGCGAGGCAAAATAAAGATCGAGGATCGTGACTCAGTACTACAATAATTTGGTGGTCTTATGGATAGAATGTGATCTCTATTATGATTACACGTGGGAATCTCCGGCTGAAATTTTCCACTTTTATAAAATTGTAGAAAAGGTGATATGTTTCAATTTCTAGCAGACATTAACAAAAACCTTGATGAAGTCTGGGTCTGTATCCTTAGCCTGGATCATCTTCCTTCTACTCGTGTTGCTTTCATAGAGATCCGACATAAAGAGTGTCGGAGACTTGTCATACTCGACACTTTAACTTTAGTCGAATCATCTACCTTGGTCACTAATAGTACTTCACTCATCTCGAGCCACCGACTCCACTTGTGATTACTGTCACAAACCCAATCATACTCGGGACAATGTTGGAAGCTTCATGAAAAACCAACACAAAATTCATCAAACAAATTTTCCTCTGCTAAGGGTCTCACAACGACATCTGAATCTACTACAACTCACTTGGAACACTCTGGAGTAATTCAAATCTCTTAAGAGTCAGATGAAACAATTAATCAAACTACGTGGATCCAGTCAATTCTCTTTCTGTCCATCGACTTCCCACGTTCGGCAATGTACCATTTATATGGTTCTCACTTCTTTTGCCTCTTCTAGCCCATTGATTATTGATTTAGGGGTCACAGATCACATAACTGGATGCTCTCATGCTTTCTCGATATATTATCCATGCTCTGGGAAATATACTGTTAAAATTGTTGATTGCCCTTGTAACTCTAATGCTGGTAAATGAGCGGTTGTATTAACGACCCGTCTAACCCTAGAATCTGTGTTGCATGTCCCCTTGTTGAAAGTGATTTGTTTTCTGTTAGTAAACTTACACGTTACATGAATTGCGTTGCTCATTTTTTTTTGATGTTTGTGTCTTTTAGGATCGTCTTTCTTGGAGGATGATTGGAAGTGCCAAGTGAGTAGCTTTGCTCTACTTTTTCTGAAAGAAAAACACGAAGAAAGAAGACACTTCTCTCAGTAGTTGCAGTCTTTCTAAATCCACTAAATGTCTTATTATGTTGTATTATTATTTGGGTCATCCCAGTTTTCAATATTTAAATCATTTTTATCCATCGACGTTTACTAATAAAAATCTTGCAAATATGAGGTTTGTCAATTAGCTAAACATCGAGTTCCATATTCACTCCACATTGACAAGCCTTTCGCTCTATATCTTAAAAAATAAATGTAAAACTGCTGTCACATTCAAAAGCTTGCATTCCTTCATGTTGACCCAATTCAAATACGTCAATTCATGTCCTTTGAACCGACAATGACCGTGAATTTTTTAACTTTGTTTTAGTTGGATTTTTGGTAAGTGTGTCTTCCATTCTAGCTCATGTACGAACACTCAACAAAATAGGGCAGCCGAGAGAAAAATTGACACCTTTTCGATTTGACTGGCTTCATTCTTTTTCAAGCTAGTGTCCTGTAATGGTTTTGAAATGATGTCATGCTTACTGTCACCTATCTCATTAATAGAGTCCCCACAAAAATTTATGACTTTAGAACTCTTTTAGCCATCTTGATGTCATGTTTCCCTACTAACCTTGAAGCCAAAATATTTAGGTGCACAACGTTTGTTCGGAAGAGTGCCCCTAATCATATTTAGATCAATCGCAGATCCATAAAATATAATTTTCTCGGATATTTGTTACTTGAAAAGGCTATCAATGTTTTGATCCTATCATAAATAAATTCTATGTGAGTGCTCATGTCTCCTTCTTTGAAAGTGTTCCTTATTTCCCTGTCACTGCCTCAAGTGAAGGGGGGTTGGTTTCTTGGACACTATTCCTTATTCAACCCCTATAGATATTTCTCTAATCACTATAACCAAGGAGCCATCTATCCCTCTAGATCCACCACCTACTAGTTAACAGACCTCCTCCCATCTTTTGTGTCTATACTCGGTGCACTCGTCTTGATTTTCCTACTTTGGAGTCTGCTACTTCATTACATGACTTGGAATCTACTCCGAGCGACATCTTTAGAACTAATCCCACTCCGAATGAGGATGTGAGTTCTCCTATTGAGGTATGTAATCATACAAGCTTTCTTTATTCCATGAAAAAATATCTCTTTCCACAGTGCATCACCTATCTACTAAGCTTTTGCTACTGCCCCGACGCGTCATTATCTCCCATCTACTATTGAGGCAACATTAGTTGCCCCTTCATAGAAAGCTACAGTAATGGATGAGATGAATGTACTTCAGCAGAATCATACATGTGATGTTTTGGATCTTCCTCCGAGTAAAAAAACAGTAGGGTGTCACTGGCTTTTTCACACTAAGTTTAACTCGGATGGATCATTTGAACACAATAAGACACGGTTGGTTGCTAAAGGCTATTCACAAACATGCATGGTTGATTATGAGGAGACATTTACTTCGGTTGCTAAATTGAACACCATTCGGGTCTTACTTTCTCTTTTTGTGAATTTGGATTAGCCCTTGCACGAGCTGGATGTCAAGAATGCTTTCCTAAATGGGCATCTTTCAAAGGAGGTGTACATGTGTCTCTCTCTAGTCTCTGACTCTACTTTCTCCTTGGGACAAGTGTGCAGACTGCTGAAGTCCCTGTACTGATTGTAGCAATCCGCAAGGGCCTCGTCCGACAAGTTCACAAAGGTGGTAATGGGTCATGACTTTTCTCATGCCCAATTAAATCATACTCTCTTCTTTCGGCATT